CCGGAATACATCCAGTGTCCCAGTCATCCTTAGCAAACGCTCCACTATTCTCTCTCAACAGCTGTCTCACACGTTCCTGTTGTTCTCCGGGTAAGTGACTGAGGTCCACTGGCGGATCCCAACCTTCACTCGCCTGAACTGTACGTTGGGTCTCTGGCGGTACGTCATTGTCACCTTGTGATAGCTGAGATTGGAATTCAGACGGAAACGGCAACTTCACTTCCGGTTGATGGATGGCATCTACTGCATGCAGCCACCCCAGGACAGTCCGTGCTGTAAGTGTCACCTCTTCTCCTGTGGTATTTTCCACCATCACTGTAATGTTATCATCCTCGTTCAGGGCATCTGAATAAGCTGTTTGTTTACCTTTATGCCTGCAGGCCAGGGTGCTTCCGAATTGGGCTCCAGCATTACGTGTGTTCCAAGGGTAACCGTCTTATTGAGCTTGCCACAACTGACGTTCACTCTCGCGCATCTTGGAAGAATAATGGATTTTCGTCCAAGTCTTGCAATATGGCACCCGCTGCTGTTTTTGCGTTTCTTCAGGAGTGACAGAACGGCTTTTGCTTTCCTAGGGCTCACTTCCAGGGATGAACTCAGTGTTTTTACAAGGGAACTCAAAGGAATCTGCTGTGCTGCATTAGCTTGGACCAGTTCCTCAATCACATTAAAGCCGATTATGGGTTTCTCCAATTCACTGGATGCAATGAGAATTGGTGCCATCAGGTGTGTGCCCCTTCCTTCAGTCTCAGTGTTTCCAGACAGACAAAACTCCACTTCCATCCAGCCTTCATATGGGATGCTTGTCCCATTCGCTGCTGTCAGGTTGAGTTCTCCCTCCTCCAGCAGCTCTCTCACTGGTCTCACCTCTGCGTCAGGAAGGTGTATTTTCCTCCACTCCGAGCCCACAATTGAAACCTGTGACCCCGTGTCCCAAAGCACTGATGTTATGACACCTCCGAGAGAACATTGCACCAAGCATCTGCGTCCCACCAAACTGGCTGTTTTCTCCTGTTTGTTCGACCTCTTGGTAAGTTTTCAATAATGTGTGATGTAATCTCAATCTTGCTTGACGTTACATTGTTCACAGTTCGTTTTCGACAACCCGCTGCCCAGTGCTCACTGCTGCCACACTTGTAACAGTGTTCACACCTTCCCTCTGAGTTAGACTGTTCACATTGGTTACAGCGCCTGGTGGTTGGTCGAACAGGTGGAAATTGGTTGCGAGGGAATCTCTGGTTACTGTTTCTAGTCATCTGAGGTCGTGATGTTTGAGCAAGGCTCGCTACTTGAGACGTCAGGTTCTGAATTGCCTCACAGATCACTTTGTCTCGAGCATCCAGCTTTTCCATCAGGTTGTTAGGCTTTGGAGCTTTCTCTTTCTCATCCTGACATCTCTATCTTGTTCAGCATGTGCCTGTTCCTCTTCCATAACTGTGGCCACTTTGGCTATTTTTGGTCGAGTGGTTGAGAACTTTGTTTTTCTTTCTAGCTCAAGACTATACGACATGTTCATTTTCTCCAACAGCACTTCATCTTCCACCCATGGGTTTTCCAGGTAGGGTTTTAGATCTGTTCGTACACTGTCATCATGAAGGCCAGTCAGAACTGTCTGCAAAAACTGATTCTGGATTAGTTCGTGATTATATCTTAATCCTGCCTTTACATTTTCAGATGCTGATAAAACCCTCTGCCTGAGATCCATGGCTCGAACTAAGAACTGGATCGGCGTTTCTTTGGGTTCTTGAACTGCACGTGTGAGTGAGTGATACAATTCAGTTGCATCCTTTTCAATAAAATGTGCTCTGAGAATTTGTTTGAGAGCAGGCAATGTTAAGTCTGTCCTACTCTCCAGGTAACTTCTCAAACTGACACCTGGGATGATGGCTTGAATGACTGCCTCAACAATTTCTCCCTCATCATAACCCTTTTTGCAGGCCCTGTAAATCTGTCTGTCCAGGCAGTTTAATTTGTCCCTCTGGTCCGGTTCACCTATTTGCCCAATTATTTTGAGTTCTTTTTTATACACTGGATGCACTAGCGTGACATTTTCTCCTGAAACTGATGAATTTTGCAGTTTTCTGTCTGTTCTGACATACAGTGATTGTGTTGCAGTGTTTTTCACAGGTTTTTCTGATGCAATTCCACTAACGCCCACAGAGTGGTGCTCCAGGTCAACTTTTCGCTGCACCTCGTTGGTTGCTTCAACCCCTACACTGGATGAGCTCTCGGTTTCTTCTTCGTCAACACTTCTCAAACTTTCAATCTTTTCCTTTGTCTCTAACAACATAGATAGTCCTTCATCTTCGAGTGAAACAACATCATCTCCCTCTAAATGCTGCAGAATGCGTCTTCTCAGCGCGCAAGGCGTGTGTGTCTCATCCTCCCCCACATTTAGCATTAACATTTCACACAAACTTCTCAGTTGCGAAGCAGATAACTTGAGTAATTTACTCTCTATTTCATCCAGCGTAGCTTCCCACACAGGCAACATTATGACCACTCACTGAACAGATTAACTTAACTCACGTTTGCAGATTGCAGTTATTTTTCCGCCGTTTCAAAGTCCACTCTCTCCGTGAATCGCGGCTCGTTCTCAGCTCGCGCTGCACTCGCGGCTCGTTTCATCACTTGCTGCTTTCTTCTTCCCGAAATCCGTCACAACCAAGCAGAAACACCAATTTTATGTTGCTCCCTTGGACAAAAACGACGACAATCAGTTCTTTTCTGTAGATTTATTTGCTCCGGTTGTTTTCTCTTTTGTTTCTGTGACAGATTTTTGAGCTCAATTTTTACATGAACAACAACATGCGTGAACTGCGCTTTTTTTACACTTCTTCTCTCTCTTTTTCGAACCGGTCTTCTCAACCCACAGCGCCCCCAACAGTATACATATTTTCTGAGGCTTTCTACATTTATACTGTTAACATTATATTAGTACAGATTATGTACAATAAACAAAAAAAAAACAAATTTAACAATTATTTGAGGTCATTACATATGACAAGCTGTCAACGCATGCGATTCTTTTTTTGTCCAGCTTTAATGTTTTAAAATATGGCAGTTAACGCAGTATAGCTATCCATTCGTTCTTTCTGTCTGTCATCCTTTAGCTAGGATTATGATCAGGCTCTTATTCACGCAAATGCTTTAAACCATTTCTGCACGATAAAGGAGAACGCGCTTTCAGTGAATTTCCTCCTGACACACACACACAACGCTCAGAAAGACGTGCGCCAGTAACCTAAAGAACAGAGGGAACCAAAAATTACTAACTGCACTTGACTAAAGAATGCTTGTAGCTTTGATAAGGATTAATCTATATTTCATTTATAATGTATGCAGGGCAGACTGTGTTATAGCCTTATTCAGTTTCTTTATGGTACAGTTAAATATGATATCTATTATGGGTTAAATGAGGATTGTCTTAAGTTTACTTAAATTAAAATTTTTATATTTTTTGAAACTTTTCATTTAAAATTTTTGGGAAACAAATTTTAATCTAGATATCAGGATATTATTAGTGATACCGGCTTTCATTCATTAAAAAAAGATGCAGTAATACTTGAAATAAATGGTGCCATTGAAGATCACCCCCCCCCCCCCCCCCCCCCCCGAAAAAAAAAGTTCAGGCTCAGGATTTTTTTTCACTTTAAGCCCTGACATCAGAGAAATCACTCTTGCATCTACAAGGCTAATGTTAGCTGCCACCAGAGTTTGACCTTCATTTCACACAAAATTTCTAGTTAGTTGGCTGTGGCGAGCAGGACGAGGGCTAGGGACGTGAGAGCAGCGCAAGGCCGGTGGCGTGAGTGATAATGAAAGACACCTGTGAGACACACCGGTGTCGAATCTCTCACGGAGGCGCGGAGGCATAAAAGGAGAAGTGTGACGATAGTGCAGATTGAGAGAGAAACAGGCCTGATTTTATTAACAGTTTTAATAGTTCATTTAACTATTAAAATGTTTAAATGTTCGCCGGTTTCCTGCCCCTTCCTTCCCACAACAACTAACCCCGTTAATGTTACACTGGCAAAGTCATTAGTGAATTACTCCTCGTTTGTATTTCTTTCTATATAATTACTGCATGATACCTGAATGTTCAGTCAGGCGAAAATAGGATGGTTCACATCACAACACAAACGTCCATGTGCTCATCTAAATCAGAGATTTCGTTCAGGAGAAATTGCCATCGTTGAAATTCTCTGCAGCAGACGGACTCTATCTGTGTCCGTAGAGCAAACGAGAGCACAGGCACCAGCAGTCCGCCCTGCTCGAGCCAGTCCAGGCTCCTCGTCCGCGACAGGCAGCCGCCTCCTGTTCCTCTGTCAGCCTCCGCTGCTCTTAACTATACTGCGCCTCGTAAAGATAGCCACGAACATCGGATTTGAGCAGCAGAACTTCAAAATCCTCTTTAGTTTCTTCCGTCATTGTCATAACTTCCTATCTCCACAGCGCTTGTTAGCTTAGCTTCCAAACAAGAAGGCTGATATTGATTTCACTATCTGCAAGTGAAGTCCCACCCACTGATCTGTAATAAGTCTTTAGGGTGAGTGGGTCCCACCCCCTGGAATAATGAGGAGCTAAAGTTTGTAGTCTCTACACTTTTCAATGAAATGGGACTTCCTGGTTATGATGACGCAAAATGACGATTTTTACGTCATAATAAGCAGGAAGTAAAACAAAGCTTAATGCAAATGGGTGAAGTGTCCCTTTAATTTCTTAATTGAATTAAAATTAAATTCTTAAAGACTATGCAACTACATGTCAACTTATTCTAAGCCTAACCCTACTAGTCTACTAATATTCTAATGAGAGTTAGTAGACATGTATTTGCAAGGTTACTTATAGACAACAGAATGTGTTAAAGGGATCATCAAAATAGTGAAAAATAAACTTCTTTTTGTAAGGGAGTATGGTACACACACACACACACACACACACACACACACAAACGCACATACAAAACAGCTAGGCAGTCTCACTTCCTCCCAGTGATTTGGAAAGTGAGGTACAGCAGTCCTAAAACAGCCCTCATTCAGCTCATGAAGAATGGAGGCTTTCAGGATCATGACAGTTGTCCAAACTGTTGCTTTTATACAAGGTATCTATTTGTCTATCTATCATCTATCTATAAATAGTTAAATAACTATTTTCTGTTAATATTTTAAAATGTAATTTTTCTTGTGATGGCAAAGCTCCATTTTCAGCGGCCAGTACTCCAGTTATTTTATCAGTATAATGATCTTTAAGAAATCATTACAATATTTCTAAAAATATATTTAAAAAAAACTTTACCTCAAACTTTACTTATCACAGAAAATTATTGTTCTGCTTATTGTAGTGTTGAATCTGTAATACAGTATCTTTTTTCAGGATTCTTTGATAAAAAAAAACATTGTTTATTTTAAATAGTCTTGTAACATTTTTTGTGTGGTCAATTGATTTAAAGAATTAACCAGATTAATCACACATTTCACAATCACACAACAGGAAGTGTATTTTAAATACTTAGTTTCACTGAAACTAATACAGCTACTAAAGTCTCAATGGAAATACCCCCCCCCCCCCCCCCCATTTTAAACATTAATTGTAGCCATTCAACAATAATTGACACAATTGAAAGCTACATTTTTTTAACATTCAAGTTATATTTTTGAAGCCTTTTTTTACTTAAATATAAAGCAATCCTTGCATAATCCTTACAACAATTCTTGTATATTATAATTAATGGCAAGAGGAAGGTTTGGAAATGTAAACTGATTTTCTTATACACTTCAGCAAAATATATAAAAACCTGTTTTGTTTTGTTTTGTTTTTTTTTGGGGGGGGGGGGGATATAAACATGTCTAAGACTTTTGCACAGTACTGAATTTTTAAACCAAAGCAAATAAAGCAATAATATAATAATAATAATATTTGCTTTTAATAAAAAGAAAGATAGAGAATCCAACTGTTATAAACAATTCAGTAATGCTTCTATTATTTTCTATTCTATTATTTTGAAGTCAAGACTAAAAGATTATTGCATTAATAAAGCATATAAGGATGGGTGAATATCATAAAATGTTGTTTGTATGATACATTTGCATGTAAATGTGCTATTATACAAATTCTGAATCTAGCATATACACTCACCTAAAGGATTATTAGGAACACCTGTTCAATTTCTCATTAATGAAATTATCGAATCAACCAATCACGTGGCAGTTGCTTCAGTGCATTTAGGGGTGTGGTCCTGGTCAAGACAATCTCCTGAACACCAAACTGAATGTCAGAATGAGAAAGAAAGGTGATTTAAGCAATCTTGAGCATGGCATGCTTGTTAGTGCCAGACGGGCCGGTCTGAGTATTTCACAATCAGCTCAGTTTCTGGGATTTTCACACACAATCATTTCAAGCTAGAAGAGCAACTTTGACTGAAATAACCACTTGTTACAACCGAGGTATGCAGAAAATGTGTGAAGCCACAACAAGCACAACCTTGAGGCGGATGGGCTACAACAGCAGAAGACCCCACTGGGTACCACTCATTTCCACTACAAATAGGAAAAAGAGGCTAAAATTTGCCTCACCAAAATTGGATAGTTGAAGACTGGAAAGTGTTGCCTGGTCTGATTTCTGTTGAGACATTCACATGGTAGAGTCAGAATTTGGCGTAAATGGTATGAGAACGTGGATCGATCATGCCTTGTTACCACTGTGCAGGCTGGTGGTGGTGGTGTAATGGTGTGGAGGATGTTTTCTTGGCTCACTTTAGGCCCCTTAGGGCCAATTGGGCATCGTTTAAATGCCACAGCCTACCTGAGAATTGTTTCTGACCATGTCCATCCCTTTATGGCCACCATCCTCATACTCTGATGGCTACTTCCAGCAGGATAATGCACCATGTCACAAAGCTCAAATCAATTCAAATTGGTTTCTTGAAAATGACAGAGTACACAGTACTAAAAATGGCCCCCACAGTCACCAGGGGCCTCATTTATAAAACTTTGCATAGGATTTGCGTCAGAAGTGGCGTACGGATGAAACATAGGACGTGCATACGCACAGAAATATTCGGATTTATAAAACCGTGCACACTCACATCCTACGCATTTTTCCCTTAATAAATCACAATCAATTCTAAATGTAGCGCAGCTTTTGCGGCTTCATGTCATGCCCATAGTTGCCCATAAATAGTCCGTGAAACGCCCACAAGTTAATATTCATTGATTGCGAAATCATAGCAAACACATAGAGGAAATTAAAAAAAAAACGTAACTTAAGTCAATGTGAAGTAGAAGTTATCATTGGTGAGGTGGAAAAGAGGAGAAAAATGTTGTTTGGAGGGCACAGTGTGGGCATTACTAATGCCAAAAAGCACTTGAGTGGCAAAAGGTTGCAGACGCCGTAAATGCTGTAGCCTCACAACCTCGGACTATGGCCGAAATAAAAAAGAAATGGTCGGACATCAAAGTCGAGGCAAAAAAGCGTCTAGTCATTAATTCAATTAGAGAGGTGGCCAAGGAGTTGGGCGAAATCAAGACTGTCCTAACTGAAATAAACTGCACAATGAGGGAATTCTTGAATAAATAATATATTTTTTCCACACCTTTTGTTGTGAAGATGACGCGTTCACTCCGAATCCTTCCATTTAATTTCCACATCTTCTAAGAGCGCATATTAGCCATTGTGCGTCATTACGCATTGTGATGGGGCATTTTATTTCCATCCATTTAATTCTGCATCTGACAAGCGGATGTCGGTTTTAATCTACTTGGAAATGGGAAATAGTTCAGTGCAAATGTAATTTCTTACAGCTTTCTGAATGGTTGAGACATACGTCGTTATTTTATCAAAAATAAAACAAACTAAAGGCATATGCTTGAATACCATGATTCCGTAGCTAATGAAGAAATTTTTACTATGAAAACAACTTTCCCCAGTGGAAAAATAATACATCTATCTATTTATCGATCTATCTAGCTATATCTCCCTAATTATCTATCTATCTGACTGACTATCTACAGTAATTGCTATATCTGCTCCATTAGACAGACACATTGGCGAGAATATCAGTTTTGTACATTATTTTGTTCTGTTTACCATCTTATTTATAAGGATGAATTGTATAACATGCCAATATTATTGCAGAACATATTTCACTTTCTTTTCGGAAATAGGCCTATGTTTTGCATTTCTGTTGCAGATCGATCAAACAGGTGTTCGTGTAGGCTGTTAATTGTAAGACTTGCTTTGTGAAGTCTTCGTGTTATTTATGAGAGGCAGTATTGCCATTTATTTTACACAACCGTCTACAGTTTCACACACTTTCACATGTTTTTACCAACTGCCGACGGTGTCGCCATTTCTCATTTCACTCGTTTTTGTGCGTACGCCTGGGTCAGAGCTTGCGTGAAGGACCGCACATTTTACCGTCAAGTTTGCTTTTTATAAATACCAACTATTGCGTAGAGAGCGGCGTACGCCTTCTTTTGTGCGAACGCAATGTTTATAAATGAGGCCCCAGATCTCAACCCATAGAGCATCTTTGGGATGTGCTGGAACGGGACCTTCTTGCTCTTGATGTGAATCCCACAAATCTCCATCAACTGCAAGATGCTATCCTATCATGGGCCAACATTTCGAAAGAATGCTTTCAGCACCTTGTTGAATCAATGCCACGTAGAATTAAGGCAGTTCTGAAGGCGAAAGGGGGTTAAACACAGTATTATGGTGTTCCTAATAATCCTTTAGTTGAGGTCATAAATTTAAATACACCTAGCAGAATCTACAAAATGTTAATAATTTTAACAAAACAAGAGTGATCCTAAAACTTACCTATTGTTTTTTTAGTGCTACATACCCTAAATAAGTTGTTGCATAAAATATGTTTGCATTCAGTGTATTCCACAAAACAAAATAAAAAATGAATTTTAAAAAATGACACTGTTTATTGTTTTGGGATAGTTTTTCATGAGCTCCTTGTTTGTCCTGTGTAGTTAAAATACGTACTGTTGTTCAGAATTATTCTTGTTCCTGAACATTGTTATTCTCTAGTTCCTGAACATTATTTGCCTTTCAGCATCTTCTTAATATGTTTTTGGGATCCATCTTTTCACAATTGAGGGACTCATGCACAGCTATTATAAAATAGCAATTATAAAAAATTCTTATTGTTTTTTAAGTAGCATTTTGCAGATTCTGAACGTACTACTGCATCTACCATTATGTAATTAATCATTCAGTTGCCATCTACATCTTTCAGTGGACCCACAGAATAAAACTTGAGCAGAAACATTGTGTTGTACAATGGTCTGAGAGTTGGAACTAAAACACACAGTGGAACAAAAACATTGTTTTTTATAGTGACTTCATTAGTTTGGTAAAAATATTATTACGGCTAAGTAATATAGAGACAACAATTTATCAGGACTGTAAAATTTCTTGCCCTTTTTTCAGGATATGACAAAATCATCTCTACTGAGCATCCAAAGGTCAAGGTCAATATGAAATGTGAGTATTTTTCTTCACGTCATTTTGATGATAATGGGTAATTCTTCCTTTAGTACATCTAAATCACTCCTTTTTTTGTGCCTCAATGTGGGCTGCTAAATGTTTTGACATTAAGCCTTAGAGCATCATGAAGAATAATTTCACATAATTCTTAACCCCTTTGAAAAGTGTGACAGGATGTTGCGGTGATGCTCTTGTTATCCAACCACTGCAAATTTGCTCACTTCCACTGTATTTCACTTTGTTGCACTAAAACAGGTGTCACATCAAACAGGCAGTGTGAGATGTCAGATCATGTTGGGCTCTATGCTATTGTTATTTGAACTCCATTTTTATAGTTTATTATAAATGTATGTTGTGTGTTCCGTTGTAATACCCAAGTTCAAAAGGCAGAAATGTGCTGTGTTGTTTATTTGGGTTTGTGCCCTTTTATAAAAACATCAGTATTTCAGAAACAGGTTAGGCTACAACATGAAAAAAAAAATATATGTTTCATGTTGTTTATATCAGTGATGCGCGGGTTGATCCGAAATGAGCGGGTGCCTGCGGTCACCCGCAGTTACGGGTCATCCAAAAATGTTTTTAATGATATTCGGGTCGCGGCGGTCGGGTCGTTTGAAAAAAGATGCCAATTAAACATTTGTATATTACTAGACACAATTTTTGATGAAATATACAGCCCTACACATTATTGGCTGAATAACTGGCACGAAGATAACACACAAGCTCAGTCTAAACAGTTCTCGGTTCTTTACTAGTGATTGGAGAACCGCTGTCCCTGTGCGTTCGGTATACGCAGTATCTATGCGCAGTATCAGCTGCTCGTGCTCATCACTTCTCTCAACAGTGGCACCAACATGTCTCGGTTCAGTGAACTGTTGGAGTTACTGGAGTAAAATATAATTCAGGATATTGATTTATTTCGATTCGGAGGCGACTCAGGCATGTCTGAAAGTGAGTAACTTTAGTAACTTGTGGATCAGCACCTCTATGATCAGCACTGACGCAAGACGCGAACTGTTTCGAACGATTCAGTTCGAGTACTGATTCGACCGGTTAAAAAGAACCGGTTCAAAAGAACGATTCGTTCACGAACCGGCCATATCTGCGATGATCACTACAGTCTGCAGAGAGATGGAGGCATGAGCATTTACTTTTAAATAATGCGGTCAGGAAGCGGGTCGGGTACAATGTTTTTTTATACTTTTTTTGCGGTCCGAGTTGCGGGCGGGTAGCTGAAAACGTCGGTCGGTTGCGGGTTGTTTATACATTGACCCGCGCATCACTGGTTTATATGTACATTTCTGAAATACTTGACTTGGATAGGGCTACATGGTCACCTCTGATAGCAATTCACTCTAAAATGTAATGTAGACGCATGCATTGCAAATCACTCTAAATTGTAATGTAGACGCGCATGTTCTGTAGGCTAAAGCCACTTTGTATAGTGCTTTTCACAACAAATTAATCTAAATGAATAATTTCAATTCAATTCACAGACCAGGATATCTCAATTGCATATCTCAATATGCATTGAAAAGTAAAAAGTACATTTTCTTGTATTCTCAGTTGTGTCACAAGCAGATCGGCATTCTGGGTCATGCTCCTGGACCCTCAGCACCTCTAGAAACAACACATCTGTTATAGCCGTGGAGGACATAAACAGTCTCTCTTCTCAGATCTGTCTGTCCCTGGGATGTGATGATGTGTATAAATTAAAGGCATTTGATGCAGAATTCAACAGTACCTGTCTCACAGGCTGCCTTTACCACGACTCGGAGCTAAACAACTGCACTCAGACTGTGAGAAGCCACTGCAAAATGCTCTCTGAGGTTATTTGTGGTAAGAACCAAGCAGTGGAACGTGAAATAGAACATTTCTGTAGGTTGGCATGTATGTTTCACAATGTGAAATTGTAAAAACTGTTCCCATACAATAAATAATAATAGTAAGATAAGTGTAAGATTAACTTCAAATATTCATGATAAATTATTTTAATTTCATTTTTGCAAATACAAAAAAAAAAAAAAACGTTTGCAAATATAAAAACGCATGCAAATACAAAAAAACATCTGCAAATTACGAAAAAAATCTTCATCAGTTCCACAACACACGTGTGCTCCAAGTACTCACAACACAACCAAATACACAAAACGCACTGCAAAACCTCACAACACAACCAAATACAGAAACGCTGCAAGTAACACAGAGCACAACGGAAATGTTTCCGGGGAACCAAATAAGTGACGGACCCAACTGAGACTTGCTTATTGCTGGTGAGCTTCCCTATGCCCTACTCCCTTCAAAGGGCAGACGGCAAAGCATGACACTAGTGTGTCATTTATGTAGCCGTTTGGAACTTGATGAAGAGAGCAACAACAGACAACGTAATGTAATTATTTTTACCTAGAATGTTCCTATGACAACGCAGCACTTTGTCCATCAGCTGTATAGCTGTTCTGACGACAGAAATATAATCATTAACATAACGGTTGCAAATAAATTATTTATTTTTTATTTTTACTTTATAAAAATCTTTTAAAATATCCATTTTATATATCTGTATGTCAGTGCCATACATTACCTAACATTTTTAGGAAACTTTTCTAATGAAAATTTTAAACATAAAATGAAACTATTTGTATAGTGTAACTGATGTATAGATTAATATCTTGCCTTCATGTTCTTCTAGATCTTTTTTTATTTATTTAGTTTAGTTTTCAGATCATTGTTCTTTTCTCTTTTGTATTGTGATGACATTGAACATATTGTTAACACATGTTGTATATTGTACACAAGTTGTATGTCATAATAATTTGAATCTCTGTGTTTTGCGGGGGAAAAGTCAAAAGAAATTAAATAAAATAAAGTAGAATTTTGAGTAAGCAAGGAGTACAGACGAACTATAAAAAAATTATAATATTATAATATTATTTGTATATACAATATTATTTTAATAGTATAGTTTATTTATAAAAAAATATATAGGCTTTGACTTCTTGTTAATAAAGGTTTTTTTTTGCTGTAAGCACATCCTGTGTATGCTATGAACACCATAGATATCTATATAAAGGCTAGATATGTCATCCACGCTGCTGGCCAATGGAGGTCGACGTCTGCAACTGGCGGCCATCTTGTCACAGGTAGCTCCCCAGATAGCAAACTGACATTGAATCAACGTGGAAATATGACATTGAAACAACGTTGATCTGACATTGTTTTGCTCATCGAATTAACGTTGAACCAACGTCAGACGCGTCATTCTTTCAAAACTAACGGAAAATCAACTTGAAATCAACGCGTTGTTTCAACGTTATGAAAGCAAACCAATTTTCGATTTTCATTTAGCTTTGAAGAATGCCACGTCTGACGTTGGTTCAACGTTAATTCGATGAGCAAAATCAACGTTGTTTCAATGTCATGAGAGACGTCGTTTCCACGTTGATTCAATGTCAGTTTGCTGTCTGGGTCACTCACTCGTAACATTGTGTTAGTGGTACATGTACTATTTAAATGAGCATAACTTGCTCAATTTTCTACCGATTTTCAAATGGTTTGTTTTGTTATAAACGTCAGAGATGTAGTTATTACACTGCATACTTATGAATAAAAAGTGTATAAATAAATTATAGCCACGTTAATAACATTTGTAAGAAACCAAACCGTTTGTAAATCCGTCAAGATTTCAACGAGATAAGAGTATTTGTGTTCGTGCTGACCAATCAGCTTGTCTGTGACAAGATGGCCGCCGGTGATGACGATGGAAACTCCGCCGTACCACATCTACAGTAGCCTTTATTTACATATCTATGATGAACACGTCCCAGTCGGGTCCGTCACTTATTTGGTTCCCCGGAAACATTTCCGTTGTGGACCTTGTTACTTGGTTACTTGAAGCGCGTTTCTGTATTTGGTTGTGTTTTGAGTAATTGGAGCACACGTGTGTTGTGGAACTGATGAAGATGTTTTTCTTAATTTCCGGATGTTTTTTTTTCTATTTGCATGCGTTTTTATATTTGCACACGTTTTTTTTTTGTATTTGCATGCGTCTTCATCAGGTTGCAGCGCGGTGAGCTCTCTCGGCCACCGTAACTTTCCCCTGTTATTGCATTGCTGCAAGCATGTTTTTGATTTGTACTTAAACGGTTCTTTGTCTAAATTATGTGAAAAAAAATGTCTAAATGTTTATATGTCCCAACTGGTTCTTCAGGCAATGCTGCCGTCCGATTGGTTGGGGGCGGTCATCGCTGTGGGGGCCGTGTGGAGGTGTGGCGGGGGTCCTGGGGCACAGTGTGTGATGATAAATGGGATGTGGAGGATGCAAATGTGGTGTGTTCACAGCTTGGTTGTGGGTACGCTGTGTCTGTCAGTGGTCAAGGTGAGCCGTACGGCCAGGGTACAGGCCCCATACACCTGGATGAACTTAACTGCACTGGAATAGAGAGAAGCTTATGGGAATGCCCAGCACTTACACAAGGACATGACTGTGGTCATAAGGAGGACGCAGGTGTGGTTTGCTCAGGTATGTAATACTATGTGTGAGTTATAAGTGGCATTTCAAGCAATGTTGATAAGAGTTCATTATGGATGGATCCGTATTTTAGCCAAATAAGCTAATAATTACTATTCGATGATGGATATGATAAGCCTTTTTGTTGTTTTAAGATTCATATGTTTTAATGTTTTAAACTGACAAGTTTAACTGAGAAGTTAATTAAAGTAATGCCATACTTATATAAAAAAAAGAAAATGCATAGTGCATATTAAGTTAGTCCCTTATAGCATACAAGCCAAAATCATGTGGCAAAGAATGAAAAACTCCATTTGATGTTGGATAAAGGAGAAAACTTACCTTGGAACAATCCCAGGGGCAGTTCTCTTCTGGTTTATACAGTCAGAATAAAATGTCGTCAGAATAAAATGTCAGTAATTAAGTAGATAAAGTAAGATTTAATGACCTAAAAAGTGTCTTTGTCTTTAACTGATTACAAAGACTCATACCCTGTAAAGTACTTGCCTGTTTTTCTCAATTTTTGATACTTCAGTTTTGATTCTCTGTCATTGATTCTTCATAGCAGATTCTCTTGTGTTGTTCTTCACATTGTGCCACCATTGCTTGTTTGTTCTCATTATTATTCTGTTACTCACCTGTTCATTCATCAAATCTTCAATAAAGTACCTGCAATTGGGTTCACACTCATCTATCTGCATTATCAGAAAATGTCATGGTATACAGTGGTAAAGGCAGCATTAACCTCTAAAAGTGTTTTTCAAAAATTTGATGCCACAAACTTTGGCTAATGGAGGGATTCATTATAAAATTATAAAGTAATTAAAGCCTTTGTGTCAAACATTGTGTAGATGCGGGGGTTCTGTGCCATGGGTGACATTAACATCTTTGCATGTGTCTGTCTCCTCTCATGTCTCCTCTCATTTTAATGAAGAATACAAGGCTCTGCGACTGACAGGCGGTCTGGATCGATGTGCTGGGAGAGTGGAAATCCATCGCAATGGAAGATGGGGAACAGTGTGTGACACGTGCTGGCATAAGGAAGAAGCTACAATGGCCTGTGATATGCTGAATTGTGGAATGGTCAAACATTTCACAGCCTTTGACCCCCCCCTTAAACATAAAAACGAATCACTCTGGTATTTTATCTGTAACCAGAATAGCAAAAACCTATGGGAGTGTCCTGACTATATTGACAATGAATATTTATGTAAGGAAACAAATGCAGCTGGGTTGATTTGCAACAGTAAGTAACATGTTTTGTGTTTTGTTTTTTTGCATGTAACATGTTAACATGGAATATTTTAATAGTTACAGCAACAGTTTACCCCAAAACTAAAATTTTCAAGTTTTCTTCTGTGGAACATGAAAATAGTTGTTAAATCTTTACACAAACTTTAGCAGCGACTATGTCTGTTAAACTTCAAAAATATGCTATAATCCAGCTAATATAGCTCATATTAGGCTACATTCCAAACCTTATAAAGATTTATGCTAAAATGCCCTTTTGTTTTCCCCCTCATTGTTTTTTTCCCCACTGTTTCCCCCCTTAAACCAAATTGTGTGCCACAAGACATGTGAGAATCAGTATCATTGTCCATCAGTGTTGCCACCGATGTGTTGTAGGTCATACAAATTTAACCTATATGCCCTTTTAATAATGAAATTCTAAATAATGACATATACTGTATGTTATGACAACTGCAAATATTTAAGGCTGCTTGCTTACACAGACACAAAGCAGCTACAGAGCCTTTAAAACTAAAGTGGATCAGAGCTTCACGCAGGAGCACAGAGCAGCCCATGTAGATAAACTTCAAGATAATCATTTCGTCTTTTCCAGATTCTCTTGGTCTCTCTGTTCCCACCAGTCAAATACCAACCTCAGCACCAGCAACCATAGGTAATCTTGAATCTTTCAGTTTTTAGTATCCTATAAAACTGAAAATGATTAAATGGGGAAATTAAGGGAGTTAATTTACTACAGTTGTAGTTATGCCCTGGATATGTTATGTTTGTTACGTAAAATAAAATGTTACGTTTGAATGAAAATGGTGAGTGATGTCAGTTAGAACCATTTTTAACACGTCTGGGACTATTTTTTTTTTTCTATCATATAGAGATAACGAAAAAGGACAATTCGCATAGATTCTTACCATCTCCAGAGTTACTGGGGTGTTTTGTTCTGGGATTCTTTCTTGTGATTGCAGTTATCACAAATATCCTCTTGTGTCATCATGATAAAAAGAAGAAAGGTAGGTCCAAACATGCAGACCAACACATCTAAAGCACCACACTAATTATTGGCATAAAACCTTGTGGATTTGACTTGAGTGCATTTGAGTAGGTACAACGGGACTAAAGACACAAAAAAATTGCTTTTCACTGTTCCCATAGTGTATGATTGCAGAAAAAAAAATGTTTTGTTTTAAAATAAATCATAAAAGTGGCTTGTTTTGTTTAAAAATCTTATGTATTAGGTGGCCAGGTGAGCCTTTTACCCCACACACGGGGTAAAAGGCAAAAGGCACACATTACTTACACAAACAATTTTGGTAAAGTAATATGTTTTGACTAATGTTTAAGTTACTTGTTCAAAATAATTACTTAAGCAAAGTTTGTACTATTTCGGTTTATTTTGATAAATAAATAGATTCATTTTTGTTCTGTAAATAAACTGTCATTAAAATATAAATTTTAAAAATACAGACACAAAATTATTTTAAAAAGTAAAGATTCTGAAACCATTGAAGAAGATCCCAGGATAATTTAATATAGCTTAACAGTATTAACTATAAATTATATTTTATTATATTTTATTATGATATTATTATCATATATTGTTTCATTATAAATAGGCGATTATCTCACCCCATTTAATATAGGATATTTAACATCTGAATCTATCCGTCATGTCAGCAAATGGAAATTCCGTCAGATATTTATTATCATGTTAATTATTGTGCCTTTTGCCCGAACAGCAGGGATGCCTTTTACCCATAGACTGTAAAAAATATGGACAAAGCGTCTGTGACGTCACCAATAGACTCTCTGAAGAATGGGTTTGAGGCTGTTTATGGGGGGTATGGGCAGCACCATACTGGAAAATCTTGGGAAATACAAAATACAAATGTTCGGAAAGGATACAGAGGTGGTATGATGTGTTGTGTCAGATAATGGCCGAGACGTCAAATTCACTCGGCGCAGCCCATTATCAGCTGTCAATCAAAAGTTTATCGCCCTTATTTGTCATAGATTTTATATCTAAATACGATCTAAACTAACAAGTTAGAAAAAAAATTCACCCCCCTCATAGTTGTCAGGCACTCGGAACCTATCGAAAAATACAATAAAAGTCCATTAGTTGGGTCATCTTTAGCTGTTCCGTGACCGTGGAGAGCGAAGGTTCGTTTCTCACTGGATTTGTCATCTATAAAGGTTAAAGAAAACAATGAGCCAGGGTGCCCCTCACAAAAATGTGGGGAAATTTTGTTAGAGCCCGATATCCAAAATGGCTGCCGTCGGCCAAGCTGTGAAATTACTTTTTAATGGTTTTGCCCACAGTGCTGCATAATACATGGTTTCTGAGACTATTTGGGTCAAGAAATTCATAAATTATGTAGATTTATTGATTTTACCTATTTTTGACCTTCAAATTTAAGATGGCCACCACAGGTGAATAGGGTAAAAATTTTAACTTGCAGATATCACCATGAAACTTTACCAGTTGATTACTCACATGAATAGGAGAAAAAATGTATTGCGAGTTTTCTGTAATTTGATGTTTAAATATGCTAATCAGGCTATATCTAATTAAATATGCACTAATTTGCATAAATTTTGAAGTGACGAATCTCACCATTGAAAAAAATAAGGTTCAAAATTATTTTAGCATTTTCTTGATATATTCAATGAAAAGACATCACTTGAGGGGACTATAAATATCTCTTTTTGTTACCCTGGAAATCAGAAAATACTGCCAATAGCATTAAATAGATTTCCGCCCTATTTTTAGGCATAAAATGTCATATAAATCAGGCCAAGAATGATATATCAACAAATCCCTCTGGAAAAACCTTCACAATATAGTTGGGAATAAGACTGTACAGTTTGTTGTATGTAGGTAATACAGAAGTGTAAAATTGTCACTAGGAGTGTGAGAAAAAAAGTCTCATTTACGTATGTAACCCTCGTTCCCTGAGTAGGGAACGGAGACGTTGCGCTGAGTGAGTTCGAATGGGGTTTTGCTTAGAAAGCCTTACTCCAAGCCCACAAGGAGGCAATAGCCCTAGTTGAATGGGCCTTGACGTTAAGGGGCATTCCTGCCCCAGGCAATCAAGCCAAAACAATAGCATCCACAATCCAGTGAGCAAGCCTCTGTTAAGAGACCCCCCCTCCCTTGTTGAACCCACCAAAGCACACAAACAGCTGGTCCGATTTTCCAAAAGCGGCGGAGCGAGAAATGTATTTTCGGAGCGCTCTGACTGGGCAAATAGCACTCTGAGCATCCAAACCCTGAGAGGGTGATGGCTCAGAGGACAAGGCAGGCAGAGAAACAATCTGCGCTCTGAACGGGGTGTTGAGCGACTTAGGAATGTAACCCGGCCTCGGTCTGAGAGTTACATTACAGTTTCCCGGTCCAAAGCGAATACAATGTTCACTTACAGAGAAAGCCTGTAAATCCCCAACCCGCTTCGCCAAAGCGAGAGCGAGAAACAGTGCCGTTTTAACCAATAGCTCCTTAATGGCAATAGAAGCTAAGGGCTCGAAAGGCGGTGGTGACAAAGCCTCCAAGACCAAAGCTAAATCCCACGGCAGCACCGAAAGCGGCCGTGCAGGGCATAATCTCCTAGCTTCCTTGAGGAACCGTGTCACCAACGCATGTCTACCGATAGACTGTCCGTCAACGGGGGGTGAAATGTGGCAATAGTGACCACATATATCATCCATCCGATCCATCCGAATATCCGACACAGAGCAGTTCGCAGGGTCTATACCGACATCCTGACACCATTTCGAGAACACGCCCCACTTTAGAGCATACAGGCACCTGGTGGACGGGGCTTGTGCCTCCGCGATGGTATTCAAAACCCGTTAATCCCGTCCGCACAGCGACCCTGCAGCGTCCACACATGGAGGCTCCACAGCTCGGGGCTGGGATGCCAGATCGTTCTGCTCACCTGAGACAGAAGGTCCTTCCTGAGCGGAATCTCCCATGGCTGTCCTGCCAGTAATTCTACCAAATCCGCAAACCAGGGCTGATTCGGCCAGTTCGGGGCTACCAGTCACCGGCCGCCTACTCCCTGATTTTGCACAACACCATGGGCAAAATTTTTACCGAAGGAAAAGCATAGAGACAGACTCTCGGCCGTATGTAGTTGTCGGTCTGAATCAACACATGCTGCTGCTCCAGCCGAGAACGAAAGGCATAGAGAACTAGAGAGACCGCTTCTAGTTCCAAATGATTTATGTGCCACTCCATCTGCTTCTCTAAACCAACGACCCGAGGCGGGCTTGCCCAAGCAGACCGCTACCCATCCGGTGGACGAAGTGTCCATCAGGACCTCCACATGCTGCGTCACTATGCCCATAGGGACACCTGAGCTGAAGAGATCTGGGTTACTCCACGGGGCCAGGGGGCAGGAGCACCTGCAGGTGACCAAAATGCGCTTGTGGCCAGAATACCACGCAGTCGGGGGGATGGGCGCTTCACCCAGTGTTGAAGCGGTCTCATATGCAGCAGCCCCAGATGACACACCGAAGAAGCTGCCGCCATCCGTCCCAGTAGCCGCTGAACCTCTTTCAGTGGGATGAGCCTGCTAGGTCTGAAGAGACAGAGAGAAGAACTCAGAGCCTCCGTTTGCTTGGGGGAGAGGCGCGCTTTTATTCTCCCCGAATCCAAGCACACTCCCAGGAATGTTGTAGTCTGGTTTGGTGTGAGCACACTTTTCTGGACGTTCGCCCTCAAACCGAGCATCTACAAGTGTCGGAGGGGGGCTTCCACATGGCTGACAATGTGGGGTGGGGGGGTGTGGTGAGGAGGTAGCCGTGGTCCCCCGCCTCGTCCATTGGGGCAAACATGGCCTGGGTGGGTGGGGGTGAGGGTGCGCGCCGATTGCGGGGCCGCCCATGACTTCACCACGTGCTCATGCACAGTAGGGAAAAATGGTGTTCCTCTTTTCGAAGCGGCCTGACGGTGGCTCGATTGGAGGAACCACGTATCCAGTTTGCTCTTTGAAGGTTCATCGGGAGCCTTCCACGAGAGGTCCAATTCCTTGACGGCCTTCGAGAGGACACGGAAGAGCTATATATATATTATTATTCTGCACGACGTGCAAAAATGTAACCCCCGCTTTGACTGTCGAAAAGAAGTGTGCTGTAGAGCTTGCATCAGTGTGGGCTCTGCAAAAGTGCGCATCGAGGGCACATATCAACCACAAAGTATGGGTGAGCAACCTTCTGAAACCTAAAATGAAAAATGAGACAACCTACAGACGATCTCATGTATTTAACGGACACATGAAATAAGTACACAAGACTGAAAATTCATGTGAAGTGTGCCATTTGGGACAGGGCCTATGATCGTGAACCACAATAGCCACTTATGTGGATTTAGCCCGGCCATCATTTCTCATGTGTGATTTCTGTATTTGACTGATTGTTTACCGTTGCTGACTACTTTCTGCCTGCCAAGATCTGGATGGTTAATTGGACTCTGATTATTGCTGCCTGCCTCGGCCCTTTGCCTGTCAACCTGTTTTGTTTCTGCCTTTTCTGTTCTGCCCTGTTTGCCATTGCACACCCTGCCTGTCTTGACCATGCTTAATAAAAAGCTGTGGATCCCCCTGGCCTGACACTGCCTCGTTACAACACATTTGGTGCATCTGCTCACTATCTGCCGAACGGCTCTGGTAGATCCGCTTATGCACTGATTATGTTGTTGGAATAGTGCCCATTTTATTGACAGAAGAAGGGATATTCTGATGTTTACTGTGTGCAGAATATTCAAAACTCATCGGACCATGAAGTTTAATCCAAACCAAGGCAATCTGAGAAAGTTGCGGCTGTTAAAATTGCGCCATTATTTCACAGTGTTCATTTACACTAGTGACTGCGACGCTGAAATGTGTGAGAACAGATGAATAACATCGGTAACACTTTACCACCACCTTGGTGCCTTTAGCGTTATTCTGCACGACGTGGAAAAACGTAACCCCCGCTTTGACTGTCGAAAAGAAGTGTGCTGAAGAGCTTG